TTAACTTTATGTTTATTGTATGATACCGAAGATTAATTGCTTTGTTAATTTTGAACGTTACTTATATTATTATATATTATGTTATTCCTCGAGTCAAGTGTTTTTTTTAATAGCTAGTCAACGCGACCACCCGACAGCGGTCCCTAATAATTAGCATATTTTCAACTTAAGACGCTTAAAATAACATTATACAACGTTTTTTACGAAAACTCTACAGTGTCCTGACATATTATATGCATAGGTACAGGTTATATGTACATTATAATATAGGGTGTATAATACAAATCAAGTATTGCGGAGACAGCCTATGTTTTACTGTTGTAGCGTAGGTGTTTATATTAACACAGTTACTAAATGTTGATCAAAACATTGGCGCATTAATTGTAGGGTATATTCATAGTGGACCTACATACATAGTAGGGCTCAATTTAAGATTTTGCAGCCCATACAGGCAATGCATTTTCTTACCACCCTTCCCTGTACCACCTTAATTCTTTTGAGCACAAATAATATTTAGCTAACTCTTAATTCCGACGATAATACAAAAAGCCCATACAGCACGTACTCAATGCGAGTAGGTTTAATTTAATGGAAAACGTTTAGAAACGCGTTACTTATTATTCTTCATAATGACATTTCGTTTACAACATTAGGTTAAGTGTAACAATAAAAACTGAGATTATAATAGATTAAGATTGTTAAGTTAGGATGGCAACAATAAATAATAAGCTTTTTTATATTGAAAAATTCGTATTCTAGTAAATTTTAAATGGGTTTTCTTATAATTTTTTTTTCCAATTGCAATTGTTTCCGCTTGAACTAAACCGTCGTCTGCTATTAAATAGATATAGCTACTATTATTGATGTATCGTCTGTAGTTTCCGTTTTTAAGCTTACCAATGAAATGAAAAATGAGAAGGACGAGAGTGATTTACATTGGGTTACTAATAATGCTAATATAATTTTCAAATATATCTGATACACTCGTTGCTTTTGAATGTTACTGATCGTTGGTCAATAATCTGAACGGCTTATGTCCTATCAATCTTCGACGGGGGAAAGAATAAATGCATACTAAAGAAATTCGATGTCCGAAAAACAAATGACTTAGGTATAGTTTCATTTTGGTTTTACCTGCCGTGTATTATCTATTTAAACCATATCATTTATAAAGAACACATTTATTAGTTTCGTTTTGGAGCTGAGAGGCGAAAAGGGTTACTGGTTTTACAATTTTAATATAATTAAGTTTTATACTTTATGTGTGTCCCACTTCACGGTAAATTTTGTATATAAAAAGTATATTAATTAGTAACACGGATTAAAATAAAAATAATTTACCCTGTTCTGGAAGTACAAATTTAGTATTATCATTGATTATAAATAGTACTATTTACAATCAATGGTATTATGAACTCAAAATGGTAATTTTTATTTTATGCTAGCGCCCGAATTTGTAGAAATTTAATTTGAATTATTTAACTGATACATAACGACAATTGTATAAGTTACTATATTTAAATTGACTATTATGATATTGGGTAAGTATAAATAAAATAATTATTAATTATTGCTGTATAGCAAACTTAGATACAAGACAATAATTAATAAATAAATAGATCAACATTAAGAACTAGACATGCATACATAGTAAATGTCTCGGATCGGCTATTTATAAATTTATAACACTTCGTCAGTATTTTACAAAACTACAATAATATATTTTATACCTACATTTTGTAAAAGCTTAACGTTGTTTTAACAAAATAAATCACCAAGTACACCACTATACACGAGAAAATCGTTTTGTGTCTGATGTAATAAAAAATATAATTTACTGGGTTGCTCTATAATAAACTATTGTTCATCTTATGTTAAACTATATTAAATCTAGATTTTAATTATAGACTAAAAACTCTTTTACTTAAAAAATTATAATTAGCGATTATGGATCAGGATCAACTTATAAGCTATATTTCCACACTCTCCATCATAACGATTACATACGTTTTCTGTTTTACCTTTTCCGTTAGTCGAATCCTCTGTATTCATCACCATTTCCTTACTCTTATTTTCTTATTTCTTATTGATTTTACATATTTTAACATGATTATTCATCCCTATATATATATATTCATCCCTTTTTTAACAGACCTAAACTATTTTGATCAGTAACTACTCAGTAAAAATACAAATTGGATACAAATACATACTGTTTTTTTCTAATCATTCCAATTCAACCAAATCATAGATTCTGAAACAAAAAAATAAGGGTATTGTTTTTTTAGGTGAAAAGGTTTTTAAATATTTTATAATACGTATATATAATTATAACTCATAAGTGTTGCTCAGGTTTTTTCTAGATACATTTATGACACTGTCATTAAAAATTGGATGGGCCAGAACTCCCCTATGAATAAATGCTACATGATTAGCGTAATGTTGTATATTTAAATGAGATTTGATGAGTTTTCGACACCTCACTTTAAAAAATGTTTTGCCTTCTTCGCCTACTTTTTAATGACGGTTTAGGTGTTAAGTTTTTACGTTAGTTAGACAATTCTACATTTACATGAAAAGGTGTGTCTAGCAACTAAATAATTAAATTATAATAGTATGAAAAAGCCTTGAAAATTTCTAGATTTAGCGATAACCGCTTTTCTTAAGTATTTTCCACCATCTAACAATTTATCTAAGTTTTATATACTGCTGTCTGTATTGTGGACCGTAAAAGTTTTGCACTGTTGTCCGTTGTTCGCGAAACGAAGCACGCGTTTGATTAACGACTTAGCCGAAGTAAAAGTAAAAGTAAAAGCGTGTACTTACTCACGATTAAAATCCCATGAAAATATTAGTTCACACGCTAATGTTTAAAATTAGACTTTCGGTTAATTGGGCATACAGGGATGGGGGTCATAACCTAAATTGTTGATACACTACTCCAGCACTACACGCATAATTGGACTATGTTTTTCTACAGTTGCATATTTAGGTTTACTGAGAAAATTCTAAAAAAATAAAGCCATAAAACGACTTTTATTATTTTTAGATAGCTTGATCAGTATGATGTTAAATATAAAAAAAAATAACACGGAACATAAATATTTACAATATTATTGTAATAATGTACACATAATTCACAATAAAACCTACGTTGAAAAAGAGTATGTTTGGGTATAGAGTATGGACATGGTACAAAAAACGAGGCAAAAATTCGAAAGAAAAGTATTTTCTTCTCGCAACCGTAATCTATCTACTCGTTTTCCTTCTTTTTTGTTATCATTTCATTAGTCCTTATCGTCTGACCCACTTCGGCAAACGTATTTCGTTTTTCAGAAAGAAATATAATATAAAGTATATTAAGTACTTATATACAATAAAAAAAAAATACACTGAGGGTATAGTACAGTAAAAAAACATCTTAATAAGAAAAGTTTAGAGTTTTTACGCATTAGTAACGAGAGCGAGACAGTAGACACATATTAATACTTCACAGTGGCTTCTGTACGGGCCGCTATATAAATGTTTCTTGAATAATAATGTAATAATTCGAGTGAAAAAAGTTTAAATATGTACTAAAGCTTTAACGTGTCAGCCAACAAATGTATAATAATAATATTTATTATAATTTATATGAAATAGTCATAACGCACAAAATTACTCACAATAAATTGATCTTTAATTACAAAAAATTATACTAGAACTTAGTTTTTAAATGTATCATATCAAATTTAGTACAGTATTATTATGTTTTATGATATTTTATTAGTTTGGATAATAGTTTTTGGGTCACGTTATTGTAATAAAAAATATGGTAACTATTCGAACTTGTTTTTAAACAGAACCTTTTTGCTGTACTATTTACTATTAGAGTTAAGTGCTAATATTAGCTAGAAAACTTTGGATATTTAAACAGAAACAAAAGAAACGCTATAAGTGCATAATGACGAATACAATATATGTTATTCCGGTTCAATCTGTTCGTTTTGTGTTTGTCAAGTATCGTATTTGCGGTAACTGTTCAAATACTATTATTAGTACGGCCAACGGTGGAAATAAAAATTGAACAATCTGCAGATTTCATTGTTATGATTTTAATTAATAATGTTTAAAATCGTTATTGTATGTATACGTATCGATACATTGTGTTTTTATGTAACGAAAGTTATGCATTTTTTCATAAGGAAAACAAATGGTCGACAATGCGTTGTCTTACCTCAAATAAACTTGAGGTAAAACCCTCAAGTCTTAATCGTTTAACTTATCTGGACAGTTTTTATGCACAAAAACATTACAGTTTACTGGAAGGAGATATTTTTTAACATCATTATTGAAGAATTCACTTTAAAAGTACTGACTCCCTTTTTTGTAATTATTCGTTTCAATTAACAATAAATCATGGAAAAACGTTTGTAATTATACACATAATATTTGTTCCTCGGCTTTTATTTATTTTATCTTTTAACGGTGTGAGACCCGACTTTCATTTCTCATAAACAATAGGATAAATCCTATCCGAAGATATAGTCACTGTATAATAAAAGCAGCAAACCATCGGAACCTAACCTGTTATGTGTAGCTGATACTACAATTAGGAGTCTTGAATTATAGTTGCTTTAGACAATTCAGATAATTAAGAATACTATTGTGCGAGGTAAATATTTATTGGGGAGCAAATCATTATACAAGGTGATTTATTTTTTCCCGTACAATCTTTGAGAATGATCGTTAGAATAATAACTAAAGGAACTATCGTAATAAATCATTTTTAAAAAATACTATGACATTATTATTAGTATTGAACTCATTCTAATTAAATTAGAACTGAGTATTTATATACTAGTATCTTATAACGATTAATCTGTAAATGTAGTCTAAAAATCCGATTATATATATATATCTATATTCGGACAAGAAATATCGACTAAACATAAAACTTACATCGTTCAACAAGAGAGTATAATAGCGGTGCGGTGGTGTAATAACAGTTGGTAACTTAGCTTGTTTCAGACAACGATGAGAAAACACAACACTGCGATGGTTTCCGTGGCATTCACGGTCACAATAGCCGGCTTATTTTGCGGGGCTGTGGAAAATTCGGAAATTATGTTCAACGCCGGTAAATACTGTACTTGCTCCGAAGTGCCAACAGACAACAGAGAGTTACAATGCACGTGTACCGATAGCGAATTGAGAGAAATCCCGACAAACCTTCCAACAAATTTACATCATCTGTAAGAGCATCGCGTCGAGTGCAACAATCAAAAATTAAAGAAACAAAATTGTTTTTTTTTATTTCAGGACAATCATTGACGCGTCAATAGAAACTTTAAAGAAGGACTCGTTCGCCAAATACAAACAAAACCTTAGAGACATGTGAGTTATTATTTTGCCAAGACGTAAACTAACCTATTTGAATTGTTTACAATTCCAAAATGTATCGAAACCATTACGACCAACAGACAAACCCATCAACCCTTACAGTACCACTAACGCATGCTCAAGCATATAAAAAGTTATTGTTATTAAACTTGTATAATTAAATGATGAATTATTAATTTTGTTTAAGTCCTTTTCGCCATTTTATTGCATCACCACTGATCTCTAACTTACGGTCTATGGTATAATTTTGTTTTTTAATTTAAAACGATTTTTTCTCTAATCAAATAAGGGTGGAAATGGAGTTAGGAGTGAGAATGGGGGCGGGGATAGGGATGTTAAATTTTTTTAACTATGTGTTGTATTCACAACGATCAAACTATAACAGAAAAATAAATTCAAAAATTTAACAGGTCATATTCCCTATGAATTTGTTTAGGCCAGATATTATGAAAACACAAATATTAGCCAGAAAATTGATATGTTTTAATATACTAGCCACCTTAGATACTAGCTTGTTACTGCTTGTTAATAAACGATTTCATTATCTATAATTCCACCACTACTCTTAATTTATTCGGCACTTCAACGAGACATGAAAATGCTCTTTCGTGGTTGCAGACTCGGCTGAAAAATGTTTTTTGAATGATTCTTTAAACGCTCATAAATTACTGAACGGTTATATTGACATAATGAATGGTTTCAATAACTCTTATTTGTAGTCAATCAATAACGATGCATTCAATTTATTTTAAATAAAAATATATTAACTTAATATTACAAAAAAAGGCGAACTACGCACATTTAGTATCTAATAAAATAAATGATGTAGAGATAAAATTTAGAATACAGGAAAAAAACCAGAAAAGTTAGGTTTTAAAAATAGCAATTTTAGTATCATAAAATTCGTTTTGATTATTTGTTAACATTTTTGAATAATTTTCAACTTTTTTTGGTGGGTTTTTTCTCTTGAACTATGCAAATGTACCCATTTATTGTCTTAAATGCAACTGAAGTACCTAAATGTAAATTAAAAGAATTCGAATTTGTAACGTTAATTATAAATAGCTAATACTAAAATATAGGCATATCAGTGTGATTGTACTCAAAGATGTTTTATTCAAGTTGAAATCACTGTGCCCAACATGCAATTTGGAAATCTTATAAGACACACCTTAAATTGTTTTTTTTATATTTTTAAAAGTAACATTTTTTCATATTATAATAAATAAAATTGTTTTTATTTTCCAACAACATTCCAGACTGAGTTGATTTAATTAAACGTGGGTACGTCTAAAACGAAAAACTTACTTTGACATTGAAAAGTGACATTTGTTGCCAAATGTTGCCGTCTTATAGTGTGTCACTTTTATATATGTTAAAATATCCCAAATTTTTTAATTTTAGATTCTAAAATTATCAGCGCAAACAACAGACTGTTGTTAGCGCTGAAGATGACAACATCGTTGTCGTAACACGTGTACGCAAGAAGTGTATAATTTTTATGGTTTAGGGCTCAAGTAGATTTTATATCTTTACTATATATTTAACCATAAGTTAGCTTAACAGTTTTTTCTGGATTAATATATATGTATATTATTAGTACAATTTCTCTATAAGATAACTTTAATTAATTAATTTTTGATTTCATTTATTTCCCTTATTAAAATCAGTCCAAGCCATCTTAATGCATTCCTTCATAAATACTATTCACAACATTATCTTTTCAACTACCCAAATACTTAAATTTATCTACTCTTTTATCTACTTCAAGCGTAACAGATTCTTTACTTCATACCAAACATCTTCATTCTTCATGATTAAACTATTTATACAAATATTTATGAACTTTTTATTATGATACTAAGTACGGGAATAATGTAAATGCCGAAAAAATATTTACAGAAACTATGATATTATTATAAATTATTTGTAAGTAGTTTTATAACTATGCTCGTTTTTACATGTCGGATTAATATAGCAGCAGGTATACATTTAGGTGCAATTCTATTCGATCGGCGTGTTACTTCTTAACAAATGTATTTAATAAAATAGAATAAATAACAATGTACTAAGTCTACTTAGTATATTATGTGAACTGAATGAAACATAGAGTTAGCTTAAAACAATCAATACTCCCGGCAAAATTTGGCGCGAACACAAAAGCTGTAGTTGGTATACTTTTAATATGAAAATTTGAGGGTTCATAATTTGTTCCAATTGAATGGATACGCACAAAAAAATAATATTTATAACGCTTTTGCTGTAAAAGATCCTAGTAATTTCATTTATCACCGTTCCAAAGAGATAAGAGAGAAGAGCTGCTATATGTACGTTATTATTGATGTCGCTTTTGAAGGGTATAATAAATTATAACATCCCATGTGATGACACAATATATTATTATTATTACTTTTAAACGTTATCATTGCTTTTAGAACATTGATGAAATGTAAGAATTTGAAGAACATTGAAAGTAACATTTTCGACGACATGTATCAATTGCGTACCATGTGAGTATTATAAGACAAAATAATAAATATACATATAAATAAAATACAATGAATATATCTTAAAAATTATGTAGATTTAGTTTTTAAATATTTTTCAAAGGTTGTTGTATAGGAGTTATAGCTACTATAATCATGAACTTTGTTTACCGTACTAGGTAAACTCTAATGAAATTCTACAACACTAGAACTAGGAAAATGTATTTTTAAGGTCAGTCAGATACTAAAAGTACTATATAAAAGTACTACGTATTATTTGCACATTCATTTGTATTTACATGTATGATACTATCTTGCCTAATAATGATGAACGGACAATGTACATTGAATAATTTTTTAATTTATAAATTACAAAAACATTAACTGATAGATTTTAAAATAAACTTATTTAGAGTAAAAGAACATTTTTGAAACCAGTATACGAAACTTTGGAGGTGAAGTTCCCAACTGGTTGCACACATATCGTTTATAACACGATCACCGAGTTTATTTAATGTCGTTATATTTGCTTATTAAAAGTCTATAATATTACGATTGCCGTAACAGATCCAAATTGTTAGATGAATCTATGTGTGTGAAAACACAAGTCCGGACAAAGAAAAAGTTTCGAACTGGAGACGGTAAAAGTAATAAAACATTTTTTCTCGCATTGTTCGGTCAATACGATTGACATATTATGATCAACGTTCATCGATATCTTTAGCTAGTCAAAAGCACGTACGGCGACGCCGCCGCAAGTACTAACTTCTTGTTGGATAGATTTTTACCAAACGAATTTTGGGCACGTGCAAGCCCAATCCCTCGGGGGGCGCTGTAAGCAAAGAAGTAATTTTGAAAGGTATAGTACTTTTTGTAATCTAAACGGTTGTAGTTTTTCTATCGTATATCATATTGATTGCGTAAAATGAAAGAAAAAACAAATATCTATGTATACCTACACAAAATTTCATCTCTTTCGGCTAGACGCGGCCAATACATGTTTTCCACACACAGCATTTCTCACCAATAAAAATTGACGGGTTTTAGCTTTCATAGTTTGCGCTTTTATCAGCCAATGAAGAAAACTCGGGAACTGAAAACCTTGTACTCGTTTTTATGAAGATCCGACGATAAACAACTCATATGGACTTTACGTTGACTCGTGTGAATTTGTCTGGAAACAGATACCTATTGCCGCTTGTTTGCAGACAATGAAACATGCTATTGTAAATGTATACCCACACAATACGTATAGGTTTTCATATTTTTTTTATATGTCAATCTTATAACGACATACTTTCATTTTTTTGACAGTCGAATGCCCGAGAAGTCTCCGGGCGGCCTCCGACAGTATAATAATTTGAAAAGTGTCCATACCCTTTTTGCTATTATCATTATATATTATAAAACATTATGTATATTGTTATACACGTTGTTATTTTTAAAAATGATGGAATAAATATCCTTTGGCGACCATAACATAAAATATAAGTTGTAAAGGGGCCCCGTTAGATACCACAAATACAATTAATTACAAAAATCAACTAAAGCTAGTAATTTTACGAGTATAAGATCCCACCATTTTAAAGTGTTGTAAATTATAGTTCACTACGCTACATCTTTCTCTGCATTGCCTGCTCTTTGTTCTATGTTAAGTTTGCGTATGAAGATACTAATCATTTTTAAAATGTATAAATTATCATTTTTATCTTTTTTCAGGACCTAATCTTGATTTCGAGGCGATATTTCTATTAAAACTTAATCATATCTTAGTTTGTAAATATTTATCATTTGTATAATATGGAGCATTTTGAGTCAAACCACGCGGTCATCGATTTGACCTCCTCAAATTTTTTTTTAAACTTCTTTTGGTCTAATATAAGATTTTTATTTTTTTGAAAATTTTAACACTAATTTTTGCCCTAAAAATAGAGATTTTTTTAAGTTATTTGAAAAAAAAATCGATTTCGACCAGTTTTAAATTTTTATCATAAAATCAGAGACTTAAATCAAATCTTTTCGTCTAATAGCGGGAGTGGGCCGAGATTTATTTCTATTTTTTTTTTTTAAAAATCTGAAATTTGTTTTTTTAATTTTAGTTTTCTTATTAAAAAAATAAAAATGCCACGCGGCATCTAAGGTTAAGCTGTGTCCGTTATTGCTTAATCCAGGATGGGTGACCCGGGAAAATTTCCATTATTAAAAAAAAATTAGAAATAAATCTCGGGCACTCCTGTTATTAGACGAAAAGATTTGATTTAAGTCTCTGATTTTAACAATTTCAGAAATTTAAAACTGGTCGAAATCGATTTTTTTTTTTAAATAACTTTAAAAACCTCTATTTTTGGGGCAAAAATTAGTGATAATAATTTCCAAAAAAAGTCTTTTATTAGACTAAAAGAAGGTTTAAAAAAATTTGATGAGGTCAGGCCCATAGTTCCCCGCCACTGCTTTATGTTTTCTTGTTTTTCTCTACCATAGTTACGAGTTTTCAATAAACCTGAAAAATAATAAAATAAACGTAACTTTTAATCATCATAGGTCTTAGATATTATATAATTTAGAACTATAGACAAATTATAAATATTATATTAAAGTGATCAAATTATTAGAGTTTCAAAAATCCAGATAACTTCGATTTATTAGATCCAAATTTGATAGATTATCCGGATTTGTGGATTTTTATTTTATTTTTATCCAAGTTAAATGATAGAAATATTATTTTTAACGTAGGTATGTACAGGTTTTGTAAGTGGTTTTCTTATGTAACCTGAATTTAAAAAACTTCTGGAAAGTTGCTTTTCAAAAGTGACAGCTGCAGTTTTGGCAAGTGTTTTAGCAGAATATCGTAGATTAACCCCGTCTATGATGATATATATCGTGTCTTTGCGAACACAATGATTACTATTATGATAATAGAAACTATAAATCATAACAAATTCTTAAACGCGTAACGCAACAGCCAACAGTATCTACTTATACTAGGTCTTGGTAGTTCAAATCATGTCGAACAATACGTGTAATCCCTACAAACATCTCGAATTTTAGCGCTCATAAGACTTATACGTTATTGTTCACAAATATCTTGATTATAACATCCAATTGGGTTTTATACAGCAGCCACAACTGTATATGAAAAGTATACAACTTAAAGTATCTTGTAACAGACATTAACTGTAATAGATGAGCTTACATTGTGTATTTAAGTCTTAAAGAAAAATACTTCTCGATCAAGTTTGACTTTTGTAGTGTTTTTGACACATACCATTAATGGTAAATAGTATGTATAATAACTAAGGAGAATTCATGTGACCAACAGTTCCCCTTCATTAGTTCGATACATACAAAATATATAAATAATTTCGTTGTACTCTTTATATATCTTAAACATCACCTCTCTCGTGGTCCCTTAATCTTAATATATATTAAAAAGTTTAAAGAGAAAGTGTTTTTTTTTAAGAACAGGAACAGTCTCAGATAATGCATTTCTACTAAAGAGACATTAGTACAAAGTAGCTTTCTTGGAAAAATTCAAATATCTTATTTATCATAATATGAACAAAAGCTTTGTGACTGAGGCCACTTTAACGCTAAACATATCAATTTTAATTTGTGGTGGTTCAAATATTTGAAATTTTGATTTCACTATTCAGTACAATTGTAAAATAAATAGCTGTATAGTTGATTTAAATTTAAAATTGTACGAGCACAAATGTTCATAGAAGTCTCCTGTTATAATAATATATAATAAAAGCTGTATACAGTGACGAAAAAAAGGATTAAAGCTTAGTCAAGTAACTTAAAAACTAAATATCACAAACGGAAGTTTAAGTCTGATTACTTACTATAGTTTCCTACTTCCGGCCTATTAAAATAAAAGTCGATTTTTCCACAAATGTTATATACAAACAATGCTATAGAAGTATTTTGTTGGGCTTAGTAGACAATATACATCTCGAAACCAAACCCTTCTTTTGACATTAAACAATATTATAAACAATTATCGTTATATCAACGAATTATTTAGTATTACTTATCATTAGTAATATTTAGTAAAACTTGACTTAGAATCGCTCAAATTTTATAATTGGGTTTCCATTTATTATACCTTTAAAAATAATAATGTTACAGGAAAGAGATGTGTTTTTTAATAGATATTGAGGAATTCACATACCATTTATTAGGTATCACAACATTGTGTACATTAATATATTTATCTAAACACTGAATATAAACTTCATATACTTCATGTATAAAATACCCTATTTAATAAGTGTTTATTCAATATGACGTGATATGTTTTTGGGATTTATTCAAATGAAATCGAAATCGAATAAACACAATTCGTAGGTAGTCTTTCCCATAACAGCAACATGGTTAAATTTACCAAAACAAAAAAAAAAGGAAGAGCATTAATACCAGTTTGTTAAATGACAATAAATTCCTGTTTTTCGTATTGAACATTTTATCTAGAGAGCCACATGGGGATAAACTGTTAAAGCGGTAAGTTTAATACATGTACATCGTGTTACAATTGAAAAAAATCAACTGCAGCTGTATATTTTGCACGATTATGAGTATGTGAATTATAAAGACAGTGTTTATGTAGATTATAGTAATAATAACCTCGATCTCAATTTGCTAGCCCTTTGTCTTATTCTGTGCTACTTCATTAATATACATCAGTATAGGATACAATTTTAATATAGTTCTAAAAATACAATTAAACAAATTAAAAATGTCTACAAATTGCTGTTAACATAATTATTGTTAATATATTATTATGTTTTTCAGTTATATCAGTCACGCGCCCAATCTCAAGGTTATTGCACCGTCCGTGTTCGACGTATACTTGCCCAGATTGAAAATCCTGTAAGTACAACAGTATTTTACACAAAAATAAGTCGTTGTAGACACTATATAAATGTATATATATATATATATATATATAGCTAATTCGGACCCTGGGCAAATATGTCGAGGTGTGTTTTACAGGTCTATAAAACATCGGTGTTAGGGACGCAGTAAAATATTGCTGTCTTGTTTACATTACTTTATGTCTAGTACAGCCGACAGTATTTGGCTGGTAGGGTCCCAAAATGAACAAATGAAAATTTTACGTTTAACTGATACATAAAAAATAAAATAAATAAAGTGTAATGGCTGCGCATTTTTACTTCATCGCGCCGTGACGACAGTAAGCTTTCGGAAGTTTAGAATTGTTAAGGCACTTGCTTATTGTAGGCAAAAACTGCAGTTATCGGACAATGAATTTATAATATGACCCCCGTCATTAAACCAACATTTTAGCTTTGAATACTATTAAGAATAATCATAAAAAACTTAAAACGAGGACTGCTTATTATTTACATTATTATTTAAAATTTATATTGTCTATAAAAATATATATTATTACCTATGTAAATATTATATAAATAACATGTAAGACGGCGCTCAGGCTATGCAATTTTGATACATGTGTTGCCCTTTGACAGGCAACAAAAACACGTCAACTACAAACATATCTTTACTGACTTTATGCCAGTTTCAAATTTGACTACAACATTCAAATGGGACTAAACAATTATTGTCGATAGGCTTAATTCGTTGACTTCAAAACTGCTTTAATTTTATCATGTAGAGTGATTAAGAGTGTAGAGTATTTAATGATGAAGCTTCTTTTTTATGGTTTTGCAAGTCCTAATATTAATGACGCTTTACTTTTGAATACACAATAAATATACTGTGCATTTCCAATGGAGTATACTTAGATTCAGCCGATTTTTCATTAGATACCTTCTAAGTTCACGATTTTACAGTCAGATATATACAAATATCGTGAAAAAGAGAAAAGCTGAGACACACGCGTATCTCAACAGCTTAGACGAATTTTTACCGAGACCAAATTTGAATAAGAAAAACAAGTATTAGAATAACATTATCGCATCGGGTTTTACAAGTCTAGTGTCCATAAATTAAATTGGTATAATTTGACCACACCATTTTTATGTATAGATTTCGAGAAAAACAATAGAAATGATACCAAATGTATTAATTGATCAACGATAGACCATACGAACATTGTAATTAGGTTTATTTTCTTTACAATATCCAATGATATGAAATGTATCTTTAAAGTGTACTATTCGACTGAAATAAATCTGGTTCACTAGTGCAACAATGTCGAGTCGAGTGGAAACTAATCGCGTCTCATTAACCGTCGGCGGTCTGCCAGTGACAATAAAATATAACTTTTTTTTGCCAGTGTCGTTAAGATGCTAAGGCCATACCGAAATTTTAATTCGTCAAAGTGTTATTAATCGTTAACGATCGCCACCGAACGTCCGATAGCCGTTTTTACATCTAAGTAAATTATCTATTTTTATGGTTCACCTTATAGGTAGGTCAAAGGTCGAATAATTTCAATATTTTTTATAATTAAAACGCCACACGGACAAATTTAAATAGGCATCAAGGACAATAATGGAGAGCACCGTATGGTAATGTGTCACATAGTAAAGGACATCCAAAGATTTATCAACTTAATTGGAATTACTATTCAACTACTCGGCCAAAAAAAGAGCTATTCATATTAATATTATTTATATTATCGCTTTGAACGGGTATACATATTTATATGAATAATTTCCGAAAATCATTTCATCGAGTTGCTCTAGAGGGACATTACTTTAAGACAAGTCCGAAAAAAAGTAAGAACAACCGAAAACGATGATCATTACGGTAGCGTGCCGAGTGTTTTTTTAGGACAAACCAGCAGCCCCTTCCATCTATTAGGATTGACCAATATATCATAAAAATTATTTATATATTCATAATATAATAATACTCGTAATAATAATAAGCACATAAAAAGAAATATATTGCCAAATAATAAAAGTCTAAACCAGATTTGTACTCCTACAAGGATGACCTCTGCGAGATAGTAAGAAACGCAAATCGAACGAGTTGACCGCATAGCCAAGATATCGAAACGTTCAGTTTCAGTTAAGTTCAACAACTATCACCGTTTAAGTATAATATTATACTCTTGTATTCGACTCGCACTTTTCAATCGGTATTGAAAAGACAAACAATTTAAACGTTTCTTCTATTAACAAAACGATGACCGTTCGTCATCGAGCGTGTTGTCCTATAAAGACTTTTTAGTACTTAAAACATTGTTATAGGTTAGGTTTTTTAATTTTTTATGTACATACAGACCACCACATGACGTGACGCTGATGACCGTGACGACGCCTCAACTGGTTTGATCGGATAACCGTTACGCACTGCACTTGTGTGGAGAATACATAACTATTATACACACACTTGCACTGGGTCAATGTCGTAGAATCATTATCAGTAAAAGTAGACCGGTGATGTCATGCCCACACGAAGCCGGCCAGGAGAAATCTCGTTTATTTCTCTATATTAATTGTAAACGGCTATGGCTATTGGATATTATGATGGCTTATTCGTGTATTAGAAACATTATTATTAATTGTATTTAAGCACTACCCTGCCTCATTTCCTTCATTTTCAGCTTATAAATTTCCCACTATCTTGATTTCTGGTACAATCCAATCGTTAATTCTTTGAATTGTTATTTGTATTATTATATACTTTAGATAAGTAAGTAGCGAACATTTCTCAATAATCTGTAATAGAAATCCGCCCCCCCCTCTCGGATTTTCTCTCATAAACTTTTGATTTTAAAAAGACAACCCACAGTTTTATTAGTAGAAGAATGTTCAAATAAAAACAAAGACCGGCTAATAACACAAGTTCAGTAATTATATTTTGAGTTAAAATAATGATAAAAAATGTAGCGCAAGCTAAGTGATGTGGTTAAGTAATAATAATAGTACACCTTAAAACATTATTCAGGTGAAACAATTAAAAATCTCTTTTGTGATTTATCCTTAGTATGAAAAACGTTAAAACTATCTTTCTATGACACTTATGTCATCTAGGGTGAAGGAAGGTATTTTCGTGGCATAAGCAATTTCGTGATATAGTTTGTTGATGGTATCGCATAATTCCCTATTCGAGAATTGTCTTGAAAATCACACTGATTCTTAAAACACAATTATTTTAACAATCAGTGTGATTTTCAAGACAATTTTCTAATAGGGAATTACGCGATACCATCAACAAACTATATCACGAAATTGCTTATGCCACGAAAATACCTTCCTTCACCCTATAGCACAATAATCGTTTTAGGAATTTGATAATTCCATAACGTGACAAATTTGCAATATGTTTAATTTTTTTTTTTATATTTTCCAATTTTACCAGACTAATTGGTATTGTCTTCACTTTCTGTCATACCTAATTACCACATGCAATATTTCTTATAGCTTAAAAAGTTCACAATATTTACAGATGAAAACATCCACTGGGAGAGATAAAAAAGATATTACCCTAAGACCAATACTTTTCCCCTGACAGTTTCGAATTGAAGCTGAAATTAGTTTTAAGTATAACAGAATGAGGTTAAACATAAAACTAATTTCGTACTCAATCGTACACGTTGAACAGCTGTCAACTATATAAAGTGTACTGCTATCTAAATGACTTTGTATAATATCAAATATATTTACCTAAAACTAAAATCATAGCATGAATACTTAGGGAAACGTACGACGTTTTTTTCTAGCGTGAATTACATATTATATAATTTTAAGCAATTGAAATCATTTTTATAATTAAATAAAACTTTTAAAGTATTGTTTTTTTTAACTGTATATAACTTTTATTTAACTGTTATAATAAACCCATTTAACTTTACGTCGTTTTGCGACCCTTCGCAATAAACTAACCGCGACCAAACAGGATAAATTCATTTTAGACTATAATATCCTTATAAATTATATACACAATAATAGCACCGATTAATCAAACAGCTCCCAAGTATTTATTTAATGATTTTTTTTATCATTTTTATCAACATAGTCTTCGCTACTATGACAATTGTATTTAATTAAATAGTATAAAAACTTGACTTGATTATATTGGGCTGTTCATAAAATTATACTGAAGTATAATTACAAGTATTACAATGATAATATATTTGTTAATAATTATTATCAAACTGTTTTAAAAAATATATTCGAAATGAAAAAGTCAAGATTTTGAGCTAAATTTAGAAATGAGAATAATGATAATGTTTTTTAGACTTTGTTTTGTATAAACTGAATGGGTGCTGATGATGTTTATGATATTGCGAAATTTACACAATTTTGGAATGACTCTCCGAACTTTGAGAAGTGATAATTAGTTGATGATGTATTCTTTAGTATCATTGTGTTATTTATAATAAAATACATGTTAAAAAACAACTGTTTGTAACTATTTGGTATTATTGAAACATTTATCATGACACAATAAAATTTCAGGTATTTTTTTGGTCGACCTTTTTAAAAATCTAAACATATTCCGAGCAAATGGAACTTTGGCAAATCACAAAAGGCTTTGTTAATTTGATTCCTCGAGTTAACAGAGCACAAAAATGCGTGTAAAGTTTCTCGTTAACTCGACAGATAAACTTAACAGATATCTTATAATGCACATTAATAAACATAATTAGTTAAAAATATTAAAATGGACTCCAGCGGCATTTTAAGTATATAAGTATAATTAAAACGGATCAACGAAAAGCTGAACTGATGTCACCAATTATTGCTACTCGAATTATTGGTTTTCTAAATGAATGACTTTAGCATAAATATAGACTATTATAAAAATATGAAAATGGATATTGAATTTGTTTGAACACAATACATCGAAAACCTTTTACTATGTATTGAATTTACAACTAGTATGTATTATTATTGTACATGAGCGGACAGGGAAATATAACTAAAGTTTTAAAATTAAAAATTCTGAGGGAAAAATTGTATACTTGGTTAACAACGTGCGCTTAACTATGGAAAACATTTATTAAATACTTTTGCACTTAAAAGTTTACTTATTTTGCTAATGTAATGAATCAAAGAGTTTGAAGATTTTATGCCGTGAAAATAGTCCTATTTCAATAGCTAATGGAGATAATTTGTTCTTCGATTGAACTCGTTCAAAATGTTTTCAGTAGTAGCTCATTTAAAAAGTTTTTTGTTTGAAGTTTTAAAAACAAAACTTTTCTAATTTACTGTTAGGTATAATAATATTAAGCCCAACGGCTTAATATTATTCCAAATGAAATATTTTAAATTCAAGGAGGGTTTTGTGGAAATGAAGTAGTATTATTTAAATTGCTAATATTTTGTTGTGCCGAGTTTTAAGAAGTCTCTGCTTGGAACTGATTTATTTTCTATGTCAAAATATATGATTGCAATATACATGATGCTTTAAAATTCTCACTTTGATCTGAATAAGGCAAAACTATAGTTAAAAGAGAAAACACTAATAAAGCTATGCCGACATACCGTTGCTGCAAATCACGCGGATAATTTAAGAACTTTTCCAAAAACTGGGTCTGTTTTGAAATTTTTTGCACAATAACAAAATAAAAAATAAAACAACACACACTACTGACAATTAAAAAAAGTTTAGATGATAAATGAAAACCAAAACTCCTGATTTAAATATGCCATGCCAAATTTACTATATACCGAAGACCAATACAAATAAGAATATTTTACAGCAAATTATTTTTAAAAAAAAATTATGAAAAGCGAGAATTTGAATAACAAGAATAATAAACACGAATAAATAATAATTTTAACAGATAAACAGTTTAACTTAGTAACGATACATTTTATTTAATATAAATCTATTTTTAATATTTATACATTTATATTTTATAAAAAAAAGTATGATGTTGTTTTTGAATGGGTAAGTTAAACGGTTTAAGCCAAACCTTAAGTTCGACCCTACAAACAAAGAAGGTAGTTTCCCAGGGCACATTATCAAGAGGACGAAACGGTTGTATATAAATTATAATTGTAAATCAAAAGAGATGTATATTATAATTTAGGCTGTTAAACCAAATTCGTATCTCTGGATGGTATCTCGTCAATTTATTTAAACATAGGTACAGTACGATTTTAATGTTTGAATAATTTAAAAGTATAAAGAGAAAATACTTCGAATAACAATTTTTATACATTTAGTACATAAATATAATTTACTTGTCTTGTATATAATCCATTTTTTTTTTTTTAGTTTAAATTTAAATGTTTATATAAAAATTATATTTTGTTTTGTTATAATATTCACAAGATAGTATTCGGGAAAAAATGAATTTTCTTAAAATATGCAGTGTAATATATATTATTTCTGTTCAAGAATTCGCCTTATTATTCTATTGCCGCAAAAATAAAACGAAACATGCACCAAACGTTTTAAGAATATAAAGTTAAAGACATTTTAGTAGATATAGAATAACAACATTGACAAAAAATTGTATATAATATTTTTGGAATGTTGTCAAAAATATTTGATGTCAAGACCACCAAACTCACGTTTTGTCAATAACCCTACGTGTAGTTCATATTATTATTATTATTATAAAATTAATTATGAAGCCATCGTTACAGTGACATCGTTATTGTTGTTATTATCATTATTTTAGGTTTTCAGTTTAGCGCTATGGCTGGTTACAATTGTTTAAATTACACAGAAAATTAATTAAATGATATTGTACAAATTAATATATTTTGTCATTGCCCATTAAGAATCGAGTAAATGTCGAAAACAATTTTATTTTATAAAAAAAGGAGAAAAAAATAACTATATTTAAAAAAATATAGTTTGTCTTAAAATCTGATTTAGAAGCTCATTTCTCCAAACTCTAAAATACATATAAGACCATACATGTATGTTTTTTCATGATATCCTCTTCAACATCTATCGAGTATGATTATAGTTCTATACTTGTATAAAGCAAATAAATATTTTAGATACTTACTAAATAAAAATACATAAAGTACACAAAAATTCAGAATCTATTTTCTATGGTAAAATCTTTACTTACGAACTTTAATCCGTTTCTTTAAGTTACACGTAAAGTTATCTAAATTTCACTCCACTCTGGAACACAATCTGCAATTCAATAAATAAATCAGCAGCCACTGATCGTTTGTGTTACACAGTTTACAGCAAAACACATAAACGTGTCACCTTGATGCCGTATACAAAATATGATAATAAAAAACTATTCATTTCCCTTTTTCTTTATGTCGTTGTGCCAAATAAAACAGCATTTGGTGATAGCAGTTTTTTTTATTTTTGGTTATCACATACTTTTGTAACATTTTACGTTATAACTATAATTTATAATACCGAGCACTGTGTTCGCTTATTTTGTCAATAGAGTTTGAGACAATTTTGTTTTTTTATATGAGTTTACCGAACAAATGTTATTAATTTTTTTAATGTATTATGAATTGGTTTCATATACGAAGTGTGTAATTTCATTTTTTTTTTGTTCAAAAAAATGTTTCTTTGTATGCTAATAAAATGTATTTTTAAGCATTCTATGAAGATGGTGGATGGTTTTCATAGTAGGTTACAAATTTTAAATTGTGCCTCCCCTCCTCATAAAGTTGTTTAGAGGTTTCTGATACAGCTGAGTTAGTTTTATCATTAGAAATATATTATACTTACTAGTGTGAGATGGTATCCACGGTATAGTAGTATACTTGATTACACAGAGCATGACTTCCTTGATATTGAAGGTCAGTTCATACTTTGTAAATTCGTTTTTGATAGATTTAGTAGTGATAGTGATTATAATGATAGTGTTAGTAGTGTTTTGATAGTGCTTTAATCACTTAAGATTAACTGTACACAGATTCCAAATTCTCACCTTGCCAACAAATACTAATTAGTACATTTTCAATTCTGTTGTGAATATTCTGCACAAAAAAACTCATGATTTAAACATCCTTGCAAAAAAAAAATTGTTTCCCTAACCCGAAATATCGTGTATAAGTAGAGAATAAGGAAGATGAGAACTCGAGGTCACGAGTAAATATGCAGGCTTTAGAAGCTAGAAAGGGTTATAATATTGGCCTGCCTTATTAAAATATATACTTGTTGGCATAACAGAAAATTTAATTAAAACAACCCTATGTTCTCTGTAAAATAAATTAGTGCTTTTATGCACTGTATAGCTTTTCGATAAATTATTTTAACTTAAAATTCAGGTTTTTAAATTAATTTGAGTGAAATGTTGTATTCAAAGGTAAAAAAAATTATCATTAATTTGCATCTTTTCTTCTAAAAATTAAGAATTGTTTTGTGTATGATGGATTTGTCAAGAGCTGCTACTACACATGAAGTACAATCACAATTATTATAATAATTGCTATGGAAAACCGGTAAACCTCAAGCGCGTGCGCCACGTTACTACTAGTATTAAATTATACAGCAACAGGTTTGTGAGCAATAATTATTTGTAATAATTATTTGAACATGTTTTTTAATAATATTTTAATAGCGTCAAATTAAAGTAACCCAAACTTGTATGACTTTTTTTTAGTTTAACCACCATGATTGCGCCAATAATATAATAATGAAATTATAAAATATATTATCAAGTTGGATCTAAAAATCATCATAAGACCTGATTATACAACTAACTTCGCTTAGGTTTTTAGTGCGAAAAAAACCGAATTATACATTTATTATTTATTATTAAAGAAATAGGATTAAAGAGGTTAAAATTAGGCATATTATAATGTATGAACAGTTAATGTTTAGAACTTTCAAATTTACAATTTATATTTTATTTATTATATGCTTCATTATTGCTCTGTATCCTTAGACTTTCCCACACCTCTTGATAAATTTATTGTTACGTTTCTGGATGTAATGATTTTTCTATAGGACCCAGTCTAGACGTTGTGCTCTTAAACATAAAAATCAAATATAAGTCAGATATAATGGTGATAAATAATTTTGTTATAGTTGTCTGGTACTGCAATAAAATAATTAATTTCATCCTCTTGCTATACCCGACAAATGCCCAAAACACTTCATACATTTTATAACACCGCAAAGAAAAATGTTGGATAAATTTCGTGTTTTAGCCTCCTCGTCTTAATTTAATTGTTGTATAATATATTCACTTCTTATAAGGTGAAATAAATAATGATTTGATATAAATTGCATTTATGTAAAAAATAAATAGGACCAGAATAGTTTTTTATGCTTTAATTAATTGTCGAAGGCTACAATAGTTATAATATTCATTCGCAAAGTTATATAAAAAACATAAGACTAAAAGTGTCTCTATCCAAAAGTGAATCTATCTTTCTACATTATAATATTATTTATTCAAAACTATCAGTCACTACCTTCGCACACACGCCGTTTCTTAATAACTTAAGTCACTGACTTTTTGGAACCTTTTTCCTTTTTTATCCTTTCACACAGTTCTGATCAAAACCTCTTGGATCGATTCGGTACTTTAGTCTATAGCATAGTAGGTGATGTTTTATAAAATTTTACATACCGGTTTCTATTTTAAAATGTCAAATGATATCTATTTGAATAAAGAAAACCTACATTTTCTTAAGGCGTACTTACAACTTTCGAAACAGATATATGAATTACAATCTATATTCCATATTTTATGAAGTTTTTTTGTTTTTTGAATTTTCAATAAACGAGTCAAATAAGCACCGAACAGTGATTACAAGCGTACTTGAAAGAACTTTGGTGGGGGTCTAGTTTTGATATATGACCGATTAACTTATATATATATATCATACGGTGACACCGCTATCATTTTTAATAGACAACATAGTTTGAGCTTCACTTATATCGCTGTTGCAGGAGAATCGTACAATCCGGCCTGGAAGTATGTCCCAGCCTCGGACTGCTGAAGACAAATAATCCTCTCCACATGGTGTGAGTATCGGCAATCGTGCAGTTGTAACAGGTGGCAAGTCCATTGAGTTATAACCTATTATAACCACCAAATACAAAACTGCGGTGGCGATGGACATCAGGTGGCAAAACGATTTCAACTTGAAATGATTTATCGCACCTTGTCACCGCCGCCGCTGCTGTGTTACTATCGGGACATTTATCCCCGGCCCTTTAAAATTTCCCACATATTATACACGTCTAATACGAAAAACAATGGGTTTACCATCAACTAGAAAATTCTTCAGGTGTGATAAATAACACATTGGGCTTTTGCAGGGATCTCGAGAACAATCACATACAACGGGTGACTCGAGGACAAATGCCGGTCAGCGCCGAAATCCTGTAAGTATAATATATACAATGTTTTATCAACTTTTTTTCACTTAAACACATAGCTACTCGGATGCACCAAACGCCCCATTAAAGCTATGTTGGCCGTCTTGATTTTTTATTAAGTAATTTTGTCCTAACATTAATATATGGTTATCGGATTTTAGGACAAAGATGTGGCGCATTGTTTTTCAAGTTTGAAGCGCGATATATAGGTATAGTATCGACTAGGTCGAATATAGTTACTCAACATCGACAATTAACATTGATTAAAGTCAAAACGTTAATTTATGACTCGGCGGTTACCATTGAGTTTTCCGCGACCGTTATAAAAAGAAACAAAAGTAATTGTTTTTAAATTACGTTTTTAACGACAGGAATGATTTGAAAATAATTGAGTTTGTATAACATTTAAAAGTACTGAAAAGAAATGAGATAATAATTGTTGAGAAAAATACTCAAATACTTCCACTCGTGAACCAACTCAAAAATAAAAAATATATATACTTAATAATTTTGTTTCACTGGCGTTGTCGGAATTAGAAAGTGGTAATCGCATTGTTCAGTTTTAAATTGAAATACAACAAATAAAGTTATGTACTTAATAAATGGTCGACGAATCAAAAATATCAGATATAGTTTCCTGTAAAATAGTGTACAAAAACCTAGCCTGATAAATAACCCTTACGATAACATTGCGGTTTTATACCTTGTAGCATGATACTAGCGACCTTAAAAACCATTTAATCTACTATAATAATTGTACTTCAAAAGCGATAGACTAATTTGTAGCAGCTACATTTTATAGTCACTATAATATAATCGTCGCCTTCTTTTGGATTTGCATATGCCGTCGTCGGCTTTGCTTCGACCGAAGTTGAGTGAGATACTCATCGCTTTTTATTGGTTTATTACGACTTGCAGTGTGCAAATACTCGTTGAGATATGCATAGGCTAATTGATGTTATCCGCAAAGGGCAAATGGCCAGGGCACAGGGCATGTTAATTTTTAACGGCTCGAATGCTGAAGTACGTACAGTATAAAAAGTTGAATAATTAAATAAAATGAAACGACTTTTCTACGACATACTTAACCATTACGATGTGCGATTACTTGGACGAGAAATACTTAAGAGCTTATGAGTGCCTTAAAAATAGTATTGGTAAATCTGCGAAAAATCACGGTTTGGTTTATTATATGTACCATTTTTAAGCGCTGTTAAAAAACAATGCAAGCAAACTTTATTTTAAGTGGTAAACGCGAGCTGTTGCGTTTTTATATATTAGTTATTAAAATAAAATGTGAATAACATTATAGACCTTTAATAGTTTAATACAAGAAAAAAAGCAAAGCATATTATATGGAAATGTAAATAGTAAATCAAATCCCGAAATACAAGTTTGTTTTATGTATTTATTCGATTTTACATATTAAATAATATAGGAGTACACTTTTTCTATATAGTAATCAAATGTCGATTTAACAGCGTCATTCATGTAAAATATGTCACAGTAAGTACACACTTTATAAAAAGAAACGAAGGTTTTGAAAACAACTCAAATCGTACTTGAAGCGTGTTTCCTGTTAGTGAATCTAAAAAATAATAAGTCATTATCGATATAGGTCAAACAAAGTTTTGTAAACAATAATGATTTTCAAGAAAACTTCAAATCTACATATTTCCTTAACAAATACAAAAATATATTTTTAAAACGATTTTATAGCAATAGGTAATTTGTATTCTTGTTCTTCACATTATCCTGAGCAAATGGTGTAGTTCGGCCAATACCTTTTTGTATACACAAATCTCTGCCCATAAGCATTTTTTATTCGTGCCACACATCTCTAAGTATTTATTTATTTACTAATTATGTATACAATACAATGATCTCTATAATAAACTAGAAACATTAATATAAGCAGTTATGGTGCAATGGGTTTGCAAACCTGATGGTCCGAGTGACGTGAGTAGGTGTTTTTTTCGTTTTTGTTATTTATTTGACTCTGTCATATCAAAACTCAGAGATCTGATGAGAAGTTGGGTTTCGGAACTAATGTTAATATTATTAGAAAAAACATTTAAAACGCATTAGCCGCCGGGCAATTAAATTGAAATACAAAACAAGAGACCTAAAATATCGTTTTATATTTACTCGGTAACGCATATAGTGTGCACATATATTTTAATCATAGAAATTAATTTTTATATTTGTTCTGCTTGACTATGTCATCTGTAGAGAGCGATATTTGCTTCATGCGTATTAGGTCGACGTTGTACTTTATAGTACAAAATTTCCAAACGGAAATCGTTTAAGTAACTACTGGCCTATGAAATGTTGAATTCACTGTACGAGTATAATGCGTGGCTTTATACAAATAAAAACAACTCGAAATAAATTATTGTACTTACGCTTACTGTCATCAAAGTCTTGTCCATATATTATACATAGAATTCGTCACTCTTTATTTGGATAGCCGAAAGTTTTCCATGACGATTTCCAGTTTAAAATGTTGCTATTACTCAGACAAATACAAAATGTTTTTTATACAAATAAAAAGTCAAAACGCGTTTTGTATATTAATCATACATCTGATGTACTCGTATATATATATTAAAATATTCGAATGAAAAATTATCCCATGGGTCAGACTAGCCAATTTTGGTAGTATCGTCCTGCAAGTAATAAAATACGGAGTTGGTGAATTTTATATTATTAAAACTAACTAAGCAACGCATTTATTCATATCTTTTGTTATACGACAGAAATAAAACTACAACTGTATACTTGCCGAATAACAATAAAATCTAAAATAATAACAATTTATTTAATTCTTCGGCATACGGGACACTCATATAGCTTCAACGTAAGCCCACAGATAAAGCTCTATTATTATAGCTTATAAGCCAAACGCATACAGGTAAATTAGGTAGTTTCATTAAAATATAAAATGAGGGATTTTTTTTTAGAATCATTTAAAGTTAAAGTTTGTTAACCACGAAACTGCGGTTAGGTTTTATACTTGTACCAATATAGTATACGAAAATTTAAGTTTATATTGATAAATCGCTTAAAATATTGAATTAAGTGAAATTTAAGTTAGAGGTTATTGTTGGGCAGTGCGTTTTGTATGGCCAGTTAACATTTTTTATAGGAACTGCATTAAAAAAAATATATATATCTTAATTAAAACAGGTGACAAAAAATCATGTTTTTTATTAGACTTACAAAGTGATAACAATTGTTTAAGCTAGAACATCCCCTAATCTGCCGAACCTGGATAGCTGGATAACTCGTCTATAAATATAGAACAAGGGTGGAGAGTTAGCGATGAATGTAAGGGTGAGGGATGAAGAAACCCGGCCCAGCGTGTAAAGGTGAACGGTGAAAAGGAGTAAAAGGAAGGGACTAGTAGAAAATACGACCTGAAGGGTTGTAGCGTTGTAAAGAATATTTGATGATATTCAGTGACTAAAATGTTTCTTTGTGACAAGTGCAACAAAGTATTTGTTTTCAAACACGATTTGACGCGACACCAAAAAACCCTTACTTATGTTCATGTCCACTTACGGAAAAATTCGGCGGTCTATAGAAAGAATGTAAACCAGATAAGAGGATGTCAGGTATTTTTTAATAACAATTGTATTACTAACAGGCTAAAAGCCCAAGAGTTAGCAAACAATATAATTAACAAAACTAGTTTAGATTCAGAAAACAATAGTTATATAAACTTTTCCGTGGACACTTTTCAGAAATTGTTATATTAAGTTTTTATTTTTGTTATAGCGTTCATATTATTTTTGGCAATTCTGATTAATGCAGCTCATGCCAATTCTATTTGTCAACTTAATATTATGTGTTAAGTTTTAACCTGTCATAGTTTAAGAAGGGCTATACTCGAATTTTTTCTGACATTGGTTCCCAGAAAATTCTGATCAGAACTACTAATTATTTAGTTTTTCTGTTTCTTGGTGTTAATCGCTGGTCGTTTACTTGCATTTTTTTTTCTTGTAAAATCCAACTAACATACGGAAAAGGAAACGGCTGTTATCATAATTAGTTAGTAATTACCAAAATTAATATATTTAAATGTGTACATTTTATGTATATAAATTATTGGAATCTATCTAGGAAAACAAAACAAAATATAAGTAAGGCTTTTTAATCGCACTAAATAGAAGTTGTTAATTGACACCGTTTCAAATTTTGTGTAACTTCTTTGCACTTATCTGCAAAGATATATTTAGATGTCAAGACAAAAAATAATTAAAATTGGGAGAAGGTTATAATAATATGACATAAGATAGTATGTTTTAGAATATTTGGTATATTTAACTTTTCTTTCTAGGTTCTTAGTTCCAGTACTCACAAATGATACTTCTTTTAGACATAACTATTTATTAAGTCCTCGCCTTGTTTAACATTTTAGGTCATGCATTCGATAACGATTATTCTATCAAATGAGAATAATGTAACTATAAGAATCTATCATGCATGCACGCTATATTAATTTGTTAGGTACCATAGAAGAGTACACAGTATTTATAATAATTTATATATTTTACATTTATATTATTTAAGTAACTGGCTATCCAGTTATATTTGTAACAATATTTTGAACTAAGCCAAAATGATCAGAATCACTGCTACGTATACTTGTTTTTTGAGCAAGACCAATCGAGTTTGAACCGAAAGCACTTTAAATGGTAAATTTACTACCACTTGTCTCTTCCATTGATGTGACGGTCGACTTAACAGTCGTATAAAGGTCATCACCAGACTGTTTTATTATCATCTGTAAAATTGGTTGACAATAATAATTAATATAAAGCATTCCGTTTTATTTATCAGCAAATTGTTTTATGTTTACGAATTTCATATATAGTTTAATATCCAATAGGAAAATATCCGGATATTATTAATATATATATATATGGACAGTTATTATTAAAAGACTCTGGTTAGAATTAATAATTGATCACGTTGAAACTGAGTTAACAGGTACTCTATGA